TTTACACTTTGAAAAGTAGTGCCTTTGTCTGCTTCTCTGGTGGCTTCTAGGCAGAGCTCCTATACTTAGAATGTTAGTACCTATTAAATAGCCCCTCTATGTGCTAACTCGTACTATTATCCTATGTGGTTTTAGGAGAAGGAGCTCTGGTGACATAGTGCCTAAGGCATTTGACTGCTAACCAGAAGGCTGGCGGTTCAAACCACCAGCCACTCCTCGGAAGGAAGATGGGGCAATCTACTTCCGTAGTGATACTGCCTCGGAAACCCAAGGAGGGGTCGCTATGATTCGGGTCCGACTCGACGGCACATAACAACAACAACAACATGCATTATCTAGTTCTTGATGGCCTCAAATTTAACTTATATTCCTACTTTCAGTTCCTTAAGTTCACTATTTCTGGCAATACAGGTTTTTCTTTCCTTTTTTATTGTGATTTGGGTGAAAGTTTACAGAACAAATTCATTTTCCATACAGCATTTCATACACATTTTGTTTCCTGGCAATGACTGCAATTCCCCACAATGTAGTATTTCTCTTTCCACTTCCTCCCTGTAGTTACCTCTTCCTTGTGTCCTTCCCTCTCATGCACCCCTCCCCCCAGCTATCTCCCTATGCAAACACTACCCTTCTGTTCTCCCATGTCTGATCACTCCAAGGAGTGTATATAATACCTGATATAAATGTTCACCCCATATGCCTATTGTTTGGCTGGAAGTCACAGGAGTGAGTTCAGTTCCAGATCTAAAGGGTAACTAGGTACCATAGTCTTGGGGGTTGGTGTCACCAGGCTCTATCAGGTTAGTAAACCTGGTCTTTTTTTTTTTTTTTTAATTTTGAGTTTTGTTCCACATTGTTCTGCCACTCTATCAGGATCTCCTGCATTGATTACTTTCTGAGTGGTTGACAGTGGTAGCCAGGTACCATCTAGTTCTTCTGGTCTCATGATCATATAGGCTGAGGACTGCATGGTGTACCAGTCCCTTGGATGGACTTCATTCTTCTTTGCTCTGGATGAGGAGAGACCCATCGTTGCATCTAGATGGCCACTTGCAAACTTTTAAGACCCCAGTCACTACTCACCAAACTAGGATGTTAGAACAATATTTTTGTGTAGTATGCTATGCCAGTTGAGCTTGATGTCCCCTGGTCCTGAGGCCATAGGTCTAACTACTTGCTCCCTCAGGGTAGCTGGCTATGGCCAAGAAGCCACCACAACCTTGTCCCTTGTTAGCTCTACTATACATCCGGACATTCTTACAGCACATACATATGCATGTAGAAATATCATCTGCCAACCCTATACACGGTCATGGGCACACTCCCCTCTGCCTAGACAAACCTGATTATTCAGCCTGTCCACCCATCTATCTACCCATAGATCAATGCTTGCCACCACTGACAATGCAGTACTGTACGTGCAAAAGGGTTCATCTTTGTTGTCTGTACCTCCCATGTACCTCTCTCTGTCTTTCTCTTCCTCAGTACTCCTTTGTTGATCACTCACTTTTGGTACATTGTCTGACAACACAGGGTTTTTTGACGATGGCTTCAGGGCCATAGTAAGGAATGGGAAGAACCTGTACTCCTTTTTTTTTTTTTTAAATTGTGATTTGGATGAAAGTTTAAGAACCTGTATTGAGTGTGAAAAGACTGGTGGTATCAGAGCTGGCTGCTGTTGACTTTAAGATTCATTGACAGACTGGGACTGGCAGCCATGATGCATAAAGGTGGAATAGCATGGGGACTGGGGATATCTGGTAGAAAATTCAAGATTTGTATTTGACCTCTGTGCTGCAATGACTTACTTGGTATAGCTTTTCTAGTCATGGTCTTTGTCACTCCCACCAGATTAGTGGGTGGGACTATGCAAATAATGCATGGAGCTCTAATGTTGGGATTGGTTAGTTTTGTTAGATTCTGTTAGGCTTAAAATGAGCCTTCCTAGAGGCTGGGGGTGGGGGGTGGGAATCTCACTGCCATCAAGAGAGAAAGACCAAGAGGTGAAGTAGGGCACATCCTTGGACCCCAGATACCTACACTGGACCTCCTTGGCAGAGACACCTTGGCAGAGACACAGTGGCAGTGGAGCCAAGAGGCGCAAGACAGAGTGGTGGCCTTGCCAGCCCATGGAGCGAGAAAGCTTAGTGCCTTTGGGCAGGAGGCTTGCTGGTGGAGTGGGGTGCACGAAGATGTACCTATTGGCAGAGCTAAAAGAGCTTGAGAACACTTGCCTGAACAGGGCAGAGGCCAGGCTGAGGCCAAGGGCCAGAGAGGTATGCCTGAGGCATAGTGTGTGTGTGTGGGGAGACAGTCCTGTCGAAGAATTATACCTTGAGCATGTTCTTGAACCTGAAGTGTAGCCTGTTATTTCCCTAACAAACCCCATAATCCTGAGTATTGTCTGTGAGTTCTGTGTGGCCATTGCAATGAGTTATCCAACCCAGGAGGGAATTAGTAAGTGCCGTGGAAGGGACAGTTGGTGTCAGAATTGGTAAAAGGCTGGAGGGTGGCAGCATGTCTGGCCTCATAGGAATAAGCCTTGGACTGTTGACTGTGACTCTGCTTCTCCTTGTGAGGTTGGAAGAGGTCAGAAGATGCTGCCCCATGTCATTTTTGTCTCCTCTGTGCTAAGCTTCCTGGTAACCATGACGTTCAGTAAACCTAGATCCAGAGTTAAAAGTGCCTTTCTTGTTAGCTGCCTCTCTCGGGACAGGTGACACTTTTGCCAACCTCTACCTTTTTGAATGTAAACACTCTCTTACCTCTGATTCTGTGATAATTATTTTCCAGTTTTTGTTCTTCCTCATTGGCTGTTCCCTTTTCAAAGGTCCACCAAGTGCTATTCTTCCTGTCCCTTAAATACTGGAATTCCTTAAAAGCTCCCTTCTTAACCCTCTGCTCTTCTCTGTGGAGCCTATCCAAATATATGGCTTCAACTATCTTGGAAATGTTGATGACTCAGAACTTCTGGCCTAGACATCACTGGAGTTTTGAAAAATTCTGTAAAATATATGTACACAACAAAACAAATGCAAGGAACATACAGATGAACCTAAAAATAAAAACTACAGTCTCATTCCATCCCAGGCCCACTTTGTAGGTAATTTTTTAATGCATATGTAAATATGCCATATTTAATCTTCTGTACTTCCTTTTTTAACATTTAATATTTTTTCTCCTAAGTTTTAGATCTATATATTCAACTGCCTTTAGAACATCTCTACCTGGACGTCCCACCAAAAAACCAAACCCACTGCCTGTTGAGTTGATTCATAGTGACCCTACAGGACAAGGCAGAACTGCCCCATAGGGTTGCCAAGCCTGTAAATCTTTACGAAAGCAGACTGCCACATCTTTCTCCTGCAGAGCGACTGGTGAGTTCAAACTACTGATCTTCCAGTTAGCTTACCAACTGATGCTTAATCATTCGCCACCAGGGATTCTCCCTGGGTGTCCCATAAGCACCTAAAATGCCTTCTCTCTTGAAATTTCTCCTTAGGCTACAACCCTATTGGTAGACTCCTTCTTACATTCAGTAGCTTGAAAAATTTGTCTTTATACATTAATGCCTTTTCAGACACTCAATTAACCTCCATCTTTTTCTACCCCACCTTATCGATGAAACAACTTTCTCCCAAATGACCAAATGTTGCAAAATCCAATTGACACATTTTAGTCCTTTCTTATTTGATCTGTTACATTTTAACCAGTTTCCTTGATATTTCTCTCCTTGTTTTCCTTTTCCTTTCTGTTTGTTTTTTCTCATTATCCTCTTTTCAGCTTCTTTCTCTCAACTCCTCTCTCAAATGCAGGTATTCCTCCTTCTAGGCCATCTTTACTCCCACAGCTTCAACTGTCATCTACATGCACACACACAGGCCCCAAAGCTGTCTTTTCGGCTCCAAACCTACCTTATTTAATATTCAATTATCTAATCGATATCTGTCTTCCGGATGTCCCATAGGTACCTCAAACTCAACGTGCTACAAAAAATGACACCCCCCCCCAAAAAAGGCATCACTATTCCCCAGCTGCACCATCCACAACACTAAGAATCATTTCGAGCTTCATTTCGAGCTCCTCCCTCTGCTTCATATTCCCCATATTCAATCTATTTCTCACCATCCGCACTACCTCTTCTATATGTCGGATCACTGTCATCTCTCACTTGGATAAGAGCTTCCCAATTGTCCTTCTTGCTCCTAACCTCGTCTCCCACAAGACAACCATCTATTCTTTTTAAAATGCAAACATAATTTCTCACACTACTGTTGAGACACTTCAGACCCTTCAGTGCCCTTAGGATGAAGTCAATTAAGTTACAAAACCTTGCGTGATTTGACCCCTGCCTATCTAACAAGTTTATTACCTTTCTTTTAGCAATACCAGGCTGCTGGCAGCTCCAGAACGTACCTGGCCCCCCAATTCCCCACAGTCCTTCAGGATTCAGCTCAGGCGACACTTCCTTTAGAAAACGAGAGCTCAAAAGCTGAAAGAATGAAATCCCAGTAGGATAAGAGAAGCGTTTTCAACTCTGGACTCAGGTTTATGGAACATCCGGGTTACCAGGAAGCTCAGCACAAAGGTCAAATCCAGATCTTGACCCTCCCCCGAAAGATCGCGGGGTAACCGGGTGCCCGTGCTATTCCGCCCTTATGCGTCATGGCTGCCATTCTCAGTCTCTATGTGTCTTGAAGTCAAAAGCAGTCAGCGCTGGCGCCACCAATCTTTCCACACTAAAGAATGCAACCCTCTTTCCATTACTACGGCCCTGAAGCCGTCGTCATGAAAAACCTGCGTTGCCAGCTTGCCCCAAAGTAAGATGGCTGCCAATCTCTATTCTCTCTTCCCCAAATGAAGCTTCCAGTCCCCGTTTAAAACTGCTGCCAGGCTGCCCTCACCTAGTATGGCTACCCCGGCTCATTTCCCACTATGGTCTCGAAGCCGCCACTAACCGGCCAGGTTCCGGGAGGCGTTGTTCAGGATGCAGCCACCCCCGCCCGTCTCTCCCCTCCCCCTCCCCTACGCCCGCGGCGGCGGCGGCGGCGGCTGGAGCCCGGATGCGGCGCCGTGAGACAGGCCCGGGAGAGCGGCGCGGATGGATCCAACATGGCTGCGCCGAGCCTGAGCCGAGAGTGAGGCGCCTGGGCGGCCGGAGTGGGGAGGGGGAGTCGAGCGGGACGGGGCGGGGCGGGGCCGGGCGGGGCCGCAAAGGGCTTGGGGAAGGAAAGTGGAGGGGGAGGCAGTGGCGACGTCCAGCCTGAGAACCTCTAGAGAAGGAGGTGACGGGACGCTGTGAGATGGGGGAGGGGAACAGCCGAGAGGGGCGTGCGGGGGAGATGGCAACTGTGAGAGAGGGCGGGGGTCGAGGCGGGGGAGTGGAGACGTGGGGAGGGGCGTAAACAAGGGCCGAGGCTTGGCCAGGCTTTTGGGATATTAGAGAGGCCGAGGTAGGGAGTAGGATTACGATCTGGACGGATTGAGAGGCATAGGAGCGGAGGGAAGAGGCTAAGGGTGTGAAAAGGAAGGGGGCTTGTAGCATGTAGTTGGAGGGTGGACAAGTCTCTTGTGTGTGGGGGTGTAATGTGGAGGTGAAAACGGTGAGAATGGGACCTAAGACGTTTGGGGGAAGGTTTTCAAAGTGTTAAATTGGGGGGAGGGGGAAGGGCTTAGGGTAGAATTTGGGTAGAAAGGAAGAGAACGGAGGTTTGGGGAATGGAGAGTGTTGGTGTGACGAGGTAAAGGAGAAAATGAGGGACTGGGAGGAAAGTTTGGGAGGAATAGGAATGGGATGGGAGACAGGACAGTGGAGTTGTACCGGTGAAAGAGGTTCAGAGGTTTCCTTTTCCTATGTGGAAAGGAAGGACAGAGTTAAGCATCATCAGTTGCAGCCAATTCTAATTGCCAGGCCCTTGGTTTTTAATAGGTGGGAAGGGAAGAAGGGAATGGTCATGTGAGTTTGGAGAAGTGAGGGTTGGATGAGGGTTCAATTGGATTTGCTTACCAAAGGCTCCCTAGTTTATTGCTCCCTTGTTTTTCCTGATTACGAAGAGGGGAAATGGGGAAGCTGGTGTCGACTGAGTGTGAAAGAAGTAAAGGACTTTTCTAGTTTTTAGCAATTAGTGAGGATGGGGAAATAGCTATGACTGTGTTGGAGTCTGCGGAAGGCTGAAGAGAACAGAAAAGACAGGATGGCATCTAGTCAGCAAGGCTAATTAAATGAGTGCTTTAGTTTCCAGACCCTTCTTTTACTGTTTTAAGTGCTGGAAGGGAGGGGTCAGTATACACAGAAAAGTTCCCTGCTGAAATGTGAATGTGTGAGTGAATGCTGCCCAGTGATTATTTTGTTCTCACTCTGTGGTCAGTAAGGGAAAGGGAAAAGATAGAATGTGGAGAAAAATTCTGGCCTGATGATGGGAAGAAAGTGCCCTCTTTGGCTGTAACCATTTTCCTCCTAGTTCCCTCTGAGGAAGATGAAATAAACATTAATATTTTAACAAAGTAGGTGACTCTCATAAGAATCCAGGGGGAAGGTGAGAAGGGTTCAGAAGGTAATTGGTTTTCCCAGAAGCTGCTGAATTTGAGACTCTAAGGCTTTACTTATACACCATTGAGACTGGAAAATTTTGAAGTTGTTATTGTTTTCTGAAGGCTTGTAGAGAGTTAGGGAAGCCTGGAGGTTTTGATGTGAATCTCTCATTTAGTCTAAAGTAGATCATTTCATTCGAAATGGTGTTACACTTGTCTTTATTTTTGCAATTGAGATTGACTAACTCGTTGGGCCTTTGAGGTTTCAAAACAAAGCTTGAAAAGTGACTTTTCCCCCCTCATTTTTTTTTTGTTTTGTTTTGTTTTGCTGCTGGATTTGAACCTTGTGCTAGGAAGAGACCTGGGAAATTGAGTTTCTTGCAGAGGTAAGTCTGGAACTTTTTATTGTTTTCAAACAATGGAAGGGAAAAGAAATGGCATGAGAAATTTATTGGGGTCAAGCCCTGGAATGGGGTAGATGCCAGGGAAAATGAATTTTCACTTACCCAGCTGAGTGGATAAACTGGTGAAGATCTGTTACAGTTACTCTCTTTAGGTAACTGGAGATAGGTGGGAAAGGAGAAGGGAAATTAGATGTCTTGGGGCAAAGACTCAGCTTTGGTTTGTTACTGTAATCTTGGTCAGCTCTGAGAGAAGCATTTTTAACATATGGAACATTGTACTCTAGAACAATGTACTCTAGTACAATGTCTAGTAAATGTTGCGCTTGGAGGGTTGCTGAGGTACCTTCCACGGAAAGGCTTTTCCTTTAGCTTACTTTTTCTTCCAGTTGTTAAGAGTTCCTGGAATCTTACTTTTGAAAACATATGTAATTTTGACTCCCAGATATTTGGTTACGTTTTCCTAGTCCCACTAGCACGAAAGCTCTTTCTGTACTCTTAACCATCTGTAGGATCTTCCTCCCTTTTTTTTTTTTAAAGACCTCACTCTTTCTTAGGTCTTCCATATGAATTTCCTCTAAGGGCTTCTGAGAGAGTCAAATATACTTTTTTGTTCTCCCATGAAACTACAGATATTATGCCTGGTTGGGGTGAAACTAGACTTTGCATGGAAGTGGAATTTTAATAGGGAGCCAATAAAGAGGAAATCCTGTAGTTACATATAGACTGTCAGTTGGCCCTTGGTTGACTTGGAGCTCCCTAAAGAAAAAAAAAGAAACTGCAACTCCAGGAAATGTAGCAGTTCATCAGAATCAGTAATTGATCTTGGCAAACACTAGAGAGGGACCCACATGTTAGGATCTCAAATGGAATCAGATGAGCCAATGGGATCAGGACTCTGTTTATTGGAGTTTTAGAAGTTCTTTTTATTTTATTGTTTAGAAGAATACATTCTCCTTATAACCTGAGACCTTTCATCTAGGATCTCTGCATAATTTAATCTGTGCCTCACTGCCACAGAAAGTTGTGTATATTTTAGTTTAAGAGGAGGTTGGTCACATTATCTAGTGGTGGAGTTAGATTGCTGGAGCCCTGTCTGTGTTGCTGAGTGAGTGAACTCACCATCCTAGAGGATAACCTAAGTGGGGCAGGCTGCTGATTAGCCTGCATGCCAGTCTTTTGATATTTCTTGGGAATGGTCTTGGAAAACATACTTCTCAGTTTTGCTTCATTGCATAAATACTGTAAGTTTGATCAGCAACATGAAAAGAAAGGGTTTGCTACTGGTTTAGTTTTAGGACTTCAAAGGTGGCTCCAAGGGATAAGTGCAAGATTCTTAGTGTCTGTCTTGCAGATGTTGGCATTCCTCTTATTCCCACAGAGATTCAGATTGAACTAGGTCAAAATAGACCTCCTGGGATGAAACAGAAGGGAGTGTAGCCTCTATCACCTGAATGGCAACAGCAGGTGATGAAGACAAGGTTAAAATGGGATGGAACTCATTTAGTGCCAGTTGGATTTCTGAGTTAAAATGAACCTATCTGTAACTGGTCTTTTCTTTTCTTCCGCAATACTGCTTGGTGGGTTTGGATAGGAGGGACCAAATGTCTTCCTTCTTCAGATCTATGGTGGAATGTGACATGCTGTTTCTTCTTTTGACCATTCATCATGCTCTACCTATAATAGGTTTCTTATCCTCAGCAATATTGACATTTTGGGCTGCATAATTCTTTGTTGTGGGGGGCTGTCCTGTGCATTGTCAGACTTTAGCAGCATCCCTGGCCTCTGCTTACTACATGCCAATAATACCACCCCCTCAAAGTCATGACAATCAAAAATATCTCCAGACATGTCCCCAGGGGACAAAATCACCCCTGGCTGGGAACCACTAATCTAAAAGCTCTGATACCCTGAATGATCCAAGCTGAGATTTGGGACTTTCAAAGATGGCTGGTTTCCTCACTAAGGATCCCTGGTGGCGTAGTGGTTAAGTGCTTGGCTGCTGAGCAAAAGGTCAGTGGTTGGAACCCACCTGCTGCTCTGCGGGACAAAAATTTGGCAGTCTGTTTCTGTAAAGATTACAGCCTTGGAAAACCCTATGGGGCAGTTCTACTTTGTTCTATAGGGGTGTTATTAGTTGGAATTGACTCAACTTTTAGGCTTTGTTTCCTTTTTGAAATGTAGGGAATTAACCCTCAGGGGACTGAAGCCTCTTACAGAATTACATCCATTGATTCATAGTTAGGACCACAGTGCTTTCCTGTGTTCTGCCTTATTTTCCAGTGGCCAGGTATGGGGAAAAATATTTCTTCCTTTCCTGGGGTTTAGCCAGGACACTTTGAATTGGGCAGCACTGAAGCAACCTGCTTTTCTGATTGATTGAATGTGAAACCTGCCCATCTGCTTTCTCTGGGATTCTCATAATCAACAGCTGGCCAAAGGGAACAGGTGGGATAGGGAACAAGGAGAAGATGTAGGGGCTCTAAAGAGGCTCAGTTTTCTCATGTTGCCAGCTATTAGCAAGAGTTTATTTTCCTTCAGCTACCTCCATTTGCACCCTGTGACAGCAGGGTGAAACGAGAGGAAGAGACAAGGAAAACTAGTCTATAGTTGAATGTAGTTATTTTCCCAGCTGTTTTCCATACTTTGGGTGGGGCATGTAGGCTGTCAAAACTAGATATAGGTTATATTTCCTTTCCACATTCCAGAATCCATGGTGTGGGGCTACGTGATTCCAGGGTTGTAAAAATAGTTGTGTGGGGGCGTCTGACCTCCTCTAACTTCAGGAGGGGAAGAAGGAGAATCGCCATCAACATCAGTTCAAGACTGATTCCTATAAAGTGGCAATCAGGCATACCTCCTCTCTTCAATTTTTTTTTTTCCCCAATTCTGACACCAATTGTCTCTCCCATAGCACTCTTTACTTCTCTGCTGGGTTTGATAATTCATTGCAGTGGCCACACAAAACTCATAGGCCATACTTACAGTTATGGGGCTTATTAGGCAAGTGACAGATTCAGGGTTGGAACAACTCATTATACAGTTTTTTAATCAGGACAGCCTCTTCTTGGCTGTGCTTGCAGGCAGGCCTTTCTCAGCCCCTCAGCCTGGCCTCTGCCCTGCTCCAGCAAGTATTAAAAAGCTTTTTAGCTGTGCCATAAGTGCCCAGAGACACCTCACTCTGCAGTAAGCCTCAGCCTGAAGGT